TGCCGAGGCCGGGTCTCGTTTGCTGCTCCGTTTGAAGCGAACCCTTAAATCTCTTTCAAAGGCTTTTTGCCCACCAGCCAAAACAGTGTGCCTAATAGTCTAATAAACACAGACAAAACGGCTCCGACGGCCGGGTAATTTCCTGTAGAAAGCCGTGTAGGTTTTTCGTGCCGTACAGGACAGTGCAGCGTGTGTAAGTGACTGCTTTATCATTACACCAGTGTGAATTCCCCATTGTATTCAGCCGCTCTTTAAATGAAGAGAAGCCATTGTGGTCCGTCGGCTCTCCTTATAGAAGCAGCTAGAGCTGAATGGTATAGAAGACTAAGGCAATGAAGCCGAAGGTTTTTTCTTTCTCTCCAGTGACGACGTCTCAGGATTCCAGCCCCAGCATAACTCACTTTTTCTGCTGAATAGAATACAAAACAACATCCTTTTGACATTTCAGTTGTTATGCTAAGTCTCCTCAGGCACAGCATTTTTCAGATGGCAAAAAATGCCTGGGAAAAAAAAAAACTTGTTAACCTTGATCCGTTGAAACCCCAGAGGCATTTCAAATTCCGCATTCAAGATGGCACTGTCCTCAAAAGGCTAAATTCACACCTGGTCAAACAGATGACTTGGCAGCAATGCATTTTAGACTTCGATTATTTTCCATTGCTTCCTCCTCATGATGGTGTGCAACACCCTTTTTTCCTCCCTCCCCAGGTAGTTCCTAGAACTGATATCTCCAAACTGCCAGCAGGCCAAAGCTTGTGTAAATGTCAGGGCTTCTTTTTTTTAAAGCCACATTGTCAGTGTGAACAAAAGGAGGAAATTTTGATTTTGAAGGAGAAAATAAGGCTCCAATCTAATATGTCCTTGTGAACCCCGGCTAACCGTTCATTGGCTGGCCTTATCTGTCGTAGACATGAAGGACGTAGACTGATTAAGGGATGAATAATTCACAGATACATTAAAACTCCTAATGCTGGCAATGAACCACAAGAATAACAATGTCACAGTGTGGCAAACCTTTTACATTTCTCCACTACAACCTGTATTGGAGTCACCAGGCACAAGATTTAGAGTAGTAGGGGGTCAGTACGGCAAAAAAAAATCAATAATTAATATTTGATGGTTTCTGTATACATTACGATGTGTGTGTGTATATATTTATAAACCTATATATATATATGTATATGTATGTAAATAAACAAACATATGGACACACACACAATATGGACAAAACAATGTGGACACCCCTGCTAATTACTGAATTCAGGTGTTTCAGCTACACCCAGGTACATAAAATCAAGCACACTGTCATGCAATCTACATAGACAAACACTGGCAGTAAATTGGGCCATACTGAAGAGCTTTAAATGTGGCACTGCCATAGGATGATACCTTTGCCATCTTTGCCAAGTCAGTTCATTTAATTTCCGCCCTGCTAGATCTGCCCTGGTCAACTGTAAGTGCTATTATTGTAAAATCAAAGTGTTTAAGAGCAACAACAGCTCAGCCACAAAGTGGTAAACCACGCACAGTCACAGAACAGGGCTGCCGAGTGCTGAAGCATGCAGCATGTAAAAACTGAGTTTCCTCTGTTGCATCACTCACTATAGAGCTTCAAACTGCCTCTGGAAGCAACATAAGAACAAGAACTGTGTGCCAGGAGCTTCATTAAATTGCTTTCCATGGCCAAGAAGCTACAATTACAAACACTATTTGCAATACCAATTGTTGGATTTAGTCGGGTAAGCACATCTCCACTCGACTCTGGAACAGTGGATACATGTTCTCTGGAGTGATAAATCATGCTTCACTGCCTGATGGACAGTCTAATGGATGAATCTGGGTTTGGTGGATGCCAAGAGAACAGCACCTATCAGAAAGCATAGTGCCAACAGTAAGGATCGGTTGAGGGGGGATAATGGTCTGATCTCAGCCACTCAGTTCCAGTGCTTCTAACTTTGTGGCAGCAGTTTGGGGGAGGCCCTTTCCTCTTCCAGCATGACTCTACCCCTTCGTACAAAGTGAGGTCCACAAAGACCTGGTTTGATGAGTCCGGTGTGGACGAACTTCAGTGGCCTGCACAGAGCCCTGACCTCAACTGCAATGAATGTCTTTTGGATGAGCTGGAACGTCCGATTGTGAGCCAGGCCTTCTCGTCCAATAGAAGTGCCAGACAAAAGTCCCACAGACACACTCCAAAATCTTGTGGAAAGTCCTACCTGAGGAGTTGGGGCTGTTATAGCCACAAAGACAACTCCATAGTAATGCCCATGATTTTGGATGGGGATGGTGAATAAGCTCATAAAAGAGTGAGGGTCAGGTTTCCACATACTTTTTGGCATATACCACATATTTTTTTTATTATTCTGGGACAGCCCTAATCTTTTAATAAGAATTTTATATTCATATTTATCAACTAAAGTGAATCTAAGATATTTTTGCCATGCAAAATAATTAAAATAGAACAGAACAGTACAGGTGAACCTATGTCAATATTGCTTTCTAACACTATCAGTAACAGCAAGGACCAGGCCCTAAGATTGCGCCATCGTCTAATACAGCTGAACAAGGGAGGTGGCACGAGAGGGAACAGGAGCGCAGCAAGCAGCCTGGCATGCATTCTTTCCATGTTACTCTCAAATGTCCGTTCTTGTGACAGATGCCTGGACTCTCTCAGGCTGCAGCTGACTACAAGGAGAGGTGATTAAGAGGGGCCTGGTTTTCCACTTTCACTGATACGTGGTTCATCCCTGATTCGGCCATTAGGCTACATGGACTAACCTTAGCATGTTTTGCATTGTTTGTACATTGCTTTATCTGTGCTTACTCATGGCATACCAGTATAAAGGTATTGCAAAACTCATACCCTATGAAGAAGTTAAACTAAAACATCAACCAGATGAACTCAGTACTGTTTTAGAGATCATATTAATCTTGACAAGTGACAGCACATTCAACTCTAAATTCAATAATTAGCTGGAACCCACCATTTTACATAAGCAGGCAAGCTTATATATTAAGCTTTTTGCCAAGGAGAATTGGCTCCTGATTAGAAATACACAACAGCACACAGAAAGATCTGAGCACAAACATAGTATGAACTTCTTTATTCCTTTTCTCTTTATTCCTCCTATCAGTCAGAGAAGATGTTTAATTCAGCAATCAGATTTTTCCTACATTGTCCAGGCCCTTAAGGAGTACTTGAACGTTAGGAGCTTTAGTTTTCAGTCACTTAGCATGTATTATGTTCATTTCTTGCAGTTTCTTTGATTTCATCTCTTGCTGTCTTTTCTCTAATCAACATAAAGTGTGTCTTTGTCCCAGATGTTCTTGATAGTTTCCCATTTATTGAAATATTTTTCTATAATGTAATGCATTTTTTTAGAAAGTAGACTGAGACTTGAATAAAATGAAAGGACAGATAATATCGCTAACTTGGCTAATTTTGAATTTAAAAAACTGTCAGTGCTACTGAATGAAGAGCCATTGATCTGACTCCAAGTATGCGACAAGTATGCAACACGCAACTCTACGAAACGTAAATTTTTCCCTAGTTTTAACTTCTGAAGGCAACCAAGCTAAACACTCCATTCAGGAGATCTTGTTTTTTATGAGAGGGCTGTTCAGCTGCTGGTTGGTTTTGAGTGGTATGCATTTTGGTAGCCCTTTAAATCACAGTGCGTAAAATCAACATACTTGACTTTGATTTGGTGGGGCTGTATGGATATGGATAATAATGCTGGGCAGCTGAGCTCTGTCTCTGTTTCTGTGATGATGCTGTGTGGTGAAATAAACTTTTTTGAGAGTATGAAGACCCCTAGGATTTACGTTTACTGCTGTAAGACCACAGAAAAGGTAAAAAATGTGAGTCTCTAACCAGCAGTTCTAACTAAACCATGACACTCGACAGCTATGCTGGTTAGTTTTTAGCAGGTTAGTTAGAATTTTTGTGACATGTGATGAACCAGCAGGCTAACTATTTGAAATACAGTGGCATTCAAGGTCAGTGGCACACATAATTTTAAAAAATTCTGCTCGCATTTTTTTAAAAAAATAAGGGGAAAATGCGAGCCAGTTATCAGCATTAGACCGAAATGAGCAGAAAACGCTGGATCAGGTATGAGAGGAGAAAAAACAGAATGCAACTGATCCAATCCTGTAACAAATCTATCCTGAAAGCGCCCACTTATACTATGCGATGTGATGTTGTTGGCTGTGTGGTTCTTTCCTGTGGGGTAGTAGAGTGATTGAGTAGTTTGGGTTTGACAGCTTACTTTTAGATGCTCATCTAACATGAGGTACTTCAATTAAACCGAGCTCATTTCAACGCTTAGCAAAATATCAGATTGATATATTGGATCTGGCTGATAATCAAGGTTTTAAATCATCTCTAAAAAAGACACAGCAGTTTTTTTGCTGAGATTAAACTGAACAGGTTTGGGACAGAGCATGACGAAATATATGAGAGAAAGAGGGAGACGGAGACGGAGACAGAGAGTTACGTTATTTAGTCGTGTTATTATGTTATTTAGCATTTTAGCCTAATGAGCAACTAAAATGACAGCAAATTGCAGAGAATGGACTGTAAAAACAAAAAGCAGAGAAGACTACAGCAGTGGAAGGGATGGAGAGAGATAGATAGAGAGATAGAGAGATAAACAGATAGAAAAGATAGAGCCAGTAAATAATTGTCTTTGAATTCTGAGGCTCTCTGTTCCAGAGCACAAGCGAAAATGACACAGCAGTTTTCAGGGAAGCCAGTGTGACAAAGTGGTTCAGACAGAGTGATATAGCGAATCGACAGGCAGATGACACACAGATAGATTTTTCTGGATAACTACATTCAGAGAAGTACATCCAAAGCTGAGCCTTTTCGGTTTTTGTTTTGCTATATTTCCAGTCGGTTCCCACACCCCAGTTATACATTGAAGGGTACAAAGCATAGAAACCAAAAACAACCCAACAGTACATTTGTTGTGTTGAATGAAGGAAAGCGTGAATACCTGGTGTTACTGCTGCTGTTGCTTGCTGAGGTTGCGGCAGTACGTGCTGCATTTGACTATTTCTTGGCTCATGCCATCCATGCAATCCATCAGCAGCTGCAGGCTCTTCTCCAGATGGTTACTATGGTTGCAGATTGACACCCAGTTTAGCCAGACGAAGTGAGCCTAATAAATGGTTGACTGAACATCCAAGCATAATTGCCCCACAGCAATATCCTCTTCAATTAAAAACCCCAGCAGACAAAATTATGATCTAGCTGATAAGAACTATTGGCTGTTTAGCAGGTTGAAAGATTCAAAGAGAATTCCAGTCACAGCTCGGGGCATTCTCCGAACAGCAAAGAACATTTAAGACCTCCAACCGGCCCTCGGCTTGGTTCCTCATCCATCAATTCCTCAAATGTCACATATCAGCATTTATCGGTAATTTCCTTTTAGAAGAAATACGATGAGGCACCAGTTCCCTTCCTGTTTAATGTGCCTTTTCTCAAAAATTGCAGCGATACGGCCAGTTTCAGCCACAGGTCACCCAAGGTGCACATTCTCCGACTAAACACACTAACATTCCCCATTACATGCTTTCAGACTTGGTGTTTTTGGACTGGCACGTATGCTCCCTGGACCTCTTGGTATTTGCCTAGAAAGGAAAAGGGCATCGCTGTACACAGCAAGAGCGAAATTACACCCTGAATACATTATCATTATCTACCTGACAATGGGGAGGCTGCGAAATTCTATGAGTGGGCTTATTAGACACACCAGGTCCTAGAAAGCTTTGAATTACAAATGAAAGACTGACTGACTTAGGAAGGAAGAGACTTTTTTTGGCTTTAATATTTTTTTTTTCTCCTCCTAATTTGGAGTAAGTAATGTCTCTCAAAGAATCAAGTTAAAAGAAAATACCGCTGCTTATTCCACAATTAGCTTAGCAAATTGCTGCTCTCTGAGTGCGCAACTAGCTTCTTCGGCTGTCCAACAAGCACATGAGAGCAAAATCATTTCAACTGTCTGCTTAGCCACACAATTTGAGAATAACTGAAGTACTTTTCCATTTACAGCTACAAATGTTTGATGTTCTGCCACACGACTTGAGATTGAAAGTTGAAAAGATAATGTGGCTTTTTTCTGTTATTTTGGATTTATGGGCTGCTTTTGACTATCAGTTTTGAAAACTGGGTTGGGTTGGTCTCCCTGGCACTGCCCCAAATTGTCTGTGGACATACATTACTGGGAACCAGCACTTTGTTAGGTCTTGGAGACTTAAAGACATATAACGCTGTCTGGGGCGTTCCTCAAGGTTCTATTTTTGGCCCACATTTGTTCTACCGATAAGTGCTTCACCTAACAAGGCCTGTTACCTTTCACACGGCAATGAGTTTATGTGAGGTTTTTGCCCCACCCATTGACTGTCTAATGCAGTACTTTACTATTAAATTGAAACGGTCCATATTGACAGTAAGTGTCTTAAACAAAGTGAGGAGCCTAACTTACATGTCAAGCTGGAAGTAAGGAATGTCAGGCTCATACTTGACTCAGACCTGAGCGTCCTATTAAATCCCACCATGACAGTACTGCTGCAGAGCCTGACAATCAGTGCCAGACCATAGCGGACCACTAAAGGACTCATTCAGTATGACTATGTGATGTCTGTGGACAGTTGTACACTCAGTATGAAACAGTAATTGTTTACTGAAACGAAGCTGCATTATAAAAACTTTATTACCTGACATTACAAAGAACTAGATTTATTTTTTCCCTCTCTTACGGCTGAAAGTGAGTGTAAAATGGTGATTCTGACCTGCTAGACAGACTGAGTGGCTCACGTTTGTCGGCCACGGTGCTGTTGTCCTCCAGCACCGACATCAGCACATTCATCAGGGGTGAGTTTCTGATGACAGTTGGCACTTCCTCAAGCCTGCGCTCGAAGCCAATGTTCACCTTTTTCAGCCTGAGAATTAAAAGCATTAAAAGTGTAACAATACATGTTTCAGGACTGATATGTTACAAATGTCTTTTGCAACTCAGATCACCTTTAATTTATTTCATTTCGTGTCAACGTAGTCATTAAGTTATTCATTCATTCACAGTAAAAATCAGAACACATTTCACAGGTAATTACATGGAAGCCTCAACATCTAAACATGATATAAACATTTTCAGAATTTAGTGTGTCCACTTGTTACCTTCTTCACAGCTTTCATTCTTTTCTGGTGACTCACTTCTAGTTTTTCAAAAAAAACCCTCCAGTGATATTTTTCCACCCTTCCAAAGTTCAGTCTTAGAAGTTGGTTGCATTTTGTGCTTTTTGTTTTTCCTCATTATCCAAATAATCCCAAACACATTCATTGAGGCTTCTGTAATGATGCTGTGGTCTGGACTGAGGTGGTCAGTCCAAGAACACCAGCAGCTTCTTTTTTTTGATTTGCAATCTACACTCACAAAGCACTTTATTAGGAACACTAAAACTAAAACTAGGTAGGGCCTCCCTTTGCTCTCAAAACATGGATTCCACAAGATGTTAGAAACACTCCTTTGAGATTCTAGTCCAGGTTGACATGATAGTGTTGTTTATTAAGTAGCGATGATTTGAAGATGCTGAAGAAGTCTCCGCTGACACCACATTACTTGCATAAGATGTTTATTACAAAGTAAAACGGTATCATATCAAGCACTATAAAGTGCCTGAGAGAGGATCCGTGCCAATTGTGTCCCCTCCAGAACAGAATAAACCAGCTGCTTATATAGGGTACTTGTTGTTGAAAAAGCAAACTGAACATATGGCCCTTTTTAAATTGATCTCATCTATGTGGAACTAAGAGATAGACCTTTGGACCAGGGGGCCTTTTTAACGTAAACATTCCAAATCCTGCAGGACAGATAACACAGAGGACTTCAGACCTCACCTTATACTTATAGAAGTTAAGAGTGTTTTTACCTTCTTTTATAAAACTATTCTTCTAAATACACCTCAATAGCATCATGCAAATCATGCAGATTTTTCAGGTGCAGGTTCATGCTGTGAATCCTCCGTTCTACCATATCCCAAAGGTGTTCTACTGGATTCAGATCTGGTGACTGGAAAGGCCACTGAAGAACAGTGAACTCATTGTCATGTTCAGAAAACCAATTTTTGACGACTTCTGCTTTGTGACATGTTGCATGGTGGATGTAGCCATTAGAAAAATGGGCCAATTGTGGTCATGAAGAGGTCAGCAACACTATTCAAATAGGCTGTGGCATTCAACCGATGATTGATTGGTATTAATTGGCCCAACAAGGTGTTTCCGTCTGCAGAAGTGCAGCTCACTGGAGGTTTTTTCTTTATTGCATCATTTTGAGTAAACTCAAGGCTGTTGGGCATGAATATCCTAGGAGATCAGCAGTTATAGAAATACTCAACCATCTTGCACTAACAATCATGCCACATTTTTTCCTCATTCTGATGGTTGAGGAGATGGTTGGTGACTGCAGGAGAGCACAGAGTGACCACTCTCCACTCACCACCAACAACTACCCTGTGTCAAAGGCACCAAGTTCCTTGGTGTTCACTTAGCAGAGAACCTCATCTGGACACTTGCTTCATAGCCAAGAAAGCCCAGCAGCATCTCTATTTCCTGCGGAAGTTAAAGAAAGCTCATCTCCCACCCACCATCCTTAGCACTGTCTACAGAGGCAGTAAAATAGCATCCTGAGCAGCTGTCTTACTGCCTGGTTTGGGAACTGCACCGCCTCTGACCGCAAGACCCTCCAGCCAATAATGAGGACAGCTGAAAAGATCACTGGGGTCTCTCTTCCCTCCCTCACGGATATCTACACCACATGCTGCATCTGAAAAGCCACTAGTATTGTGACTGACCCCACACACCCCTCACACGAACTGTTCTCTCTTATGCCATCTGGAAGAAGGTGCCGCAGCATTTGGGCCCTCACAGCCAGACTGTGCAACAGTGTCTTTCCACAAGCCGTCAGATTCCTCAACTCCCACGGACTGAACTGATGGACACCGCTGTAGACACACATACACCTATACATAACAATATGAGACCATCTCACTCCCCACTTCTTGCAATTCCAGACTATGTCTAAGATACTGTAATTAAATATTATTACTGTAATTAACATTATCGCATTTCACATTGAAATACTTAATAGAATTTATATATCTGGTCAACCAGTACTGTTTTCCGTTACTGTTGTTCTGGTTGCTACCTCAGTGAGAGAGTTTACATGCACTCAATAATCTGATCGGAATCGGATTTCTGCAGTTATCCAATTATTCAAATGGTCATGGGAACAGCATACTCCGATCTAGAAATCTGATTAAGAAATCTGATAAAGAGAGCTGGATTTTAGCTCAGTAATTGGATTTTGCAGTGCATGTAAACTCTTACTCTGATTTCTTTCAGATTTCTCAGTCTGCGCATGTGTGGAACAGACTGCTGTATCGGAAATAAGCAAGCAGCGTTTTTGCCAGATGGCAGCAAAACACTTTTGGAGCGACGCTGAAACCAACTACATTCTTGACGAAATGAAGGATTTAAATATTCTTCATGTTCTAGATGATGTATTTTCATGTTTTTGGATAAAGTGGCGAGGTTTAAAAAAAAGCCGCAGCATGAAGTTTGAGTTATACATTGTTTTATGTCACGTCTTCTTCTGTGAGTTTACTGGCTGATTGCAAAGCAGAAATCCGAATACTGTCTGACTCATGTAGACCCGGAGTTTCCAATTATCTGATTACTCAACTGCATATAAACGCGTTGATTGGATTACTGACATAATCTCATTTTCTGCAGTTATCGGATTATTAAATGCATGTAAACTCACTCAGTGAGTGACTGCTATGTTCATATATGCTAGGCTGTATGCTAATATGTCATTGTATGTTACATCCTGCTTTGCACAATCTACACACTCTCAGTACTGTGTACTGCCTGTGTTCTGTCTTGTATTTATTGTAAGTCTTTCGTATTTATTTATTGTACTGTATTGTCTGCACTGTGTATGTTGTATTGTTGTGCACTTGAGTTCATGTGTTGCATCATGGTCCTGGTTTCATTTCACTGTATGATTGTATGCACTGCACTGCTGCCACACGATCGGCTGATTAGATAATTGTATGAATGAGTAGTTGTACAGGTGTACCTAGTAAAGTGCACAGTGAAAGTATAATATCCTCAGAAATATCTCCCGAAAAATGAAAAAAAAATGTTTTTATGGCTGTTTTGACCTGAGATTAAATAAACAGGGTGGTCTCTGATTTTTGCAGTGCTGTACTACAGATTTGCTTGACTCAGATAAATAAATGAGTGCCAAGCTTGCCCCCTATAAAGAAAAAGCCCTAAAAATTGAAATCCTTGGAAAGTGTTAAGTAACTACAGAAAAAAACCCAGTCATTAAAGTGTGGTCATAACATAAGACCCGCCCCTTCTCGCCAACTTTATTCTGATGCACCCAGTTGTCTAGTTTTGATCATTTAGGGTGGTTTCCAGAAAAGACCGTGGTCCTGGGAAGCGTGTCGAGGACACCGTTCAAAGTCTCCATACACGCTTTCTATTTTATGAACGTTTTTTTCATTTTAGTCATACTATATTGACACCTACACAAAATGTACACATTTTATATTGGTGTGAAACTAGGCCTATATACATATATATATATATCTGCCGTGGAGATTGTGTCGTACTGTGTTGGTTCTTTTCGGCTACATCCTGCAATCTCATTTTCATTCATAGAACTGCACGATGCTCATTACATTCCACAATCAATAACCTCTCAATTTCTAAACCTGCTTGTACATAGAGCGGGTCTACTTGTGCGAGTGCGGCACACTGATACCAAATATCATATTCAGCACAGGGCACCCAGACCCAGGAAGATCAAGGTCAAAAACGTCCAGTGGAGTGGCTTTAATATTTATGGGAGAATCCTCTGTACCTGCAGCCTATTCCGTCAGCAGTTTAAGCCCTGTGGAAGGAAAGGCCGCTGTTTATATGCGGTCGTGCTTTCTCCTAGACGCCTCCCCCCACCCCCGTCTCCTGCTGATTTCTGAGCTGTCACTCCTTTGCTGTTACGTTGTCATATTACGCTTGCATCTCCTTGCAATTTAAAAGCAATTACCATCTGCCAGGGAGGCAGGGGGAAGTCGTAAACTTTGCGCGCGTGTTGTTGTTTCTCAGCTCAGACTGATGACTAATCCCTCCGAATCGCCTCCAACGTCATTATTTTTTAAAAGTCACTTGCTGATGGCCAGCGCAGTGGGGGGTAAGATACGTGCTTATTTAAGCTTGCTAACGAGGTAGGTGAAAGTATAGAATAGGACAGGACAGACACTCATAAAACTGGGGATTGGGACGGTGTTTCGGGACAGTTCAGACTAGGGTAGTATAATGTATCGTTTGTTAAGATTTGTTACTTTTGTTTGGCTATGCTACCCAATAACTTAATTATATAATGGGTTATGCGACTAACTACATCCGCAATCGATTTGCATTCTGTATTGACAGCTTGCCTTTGTTTCCATGTCAAACAAAGCAAAAATGTAACATGTTTTTTTTTCTTTTCACTTTTTAAAACAAGACGGTGGTCATAACTTTTCATCAAATTCAAATCGTAAGTCTCTCCTCTTCTACTTACACACACAAATGCAGTATGAATTTGAAGTAGAGCTGGGGCGATATAGCACAGCGACAGCAACGATACTAGCAAGAAATAATTATTATCTAACTACACCATGTTTTTGTCATCAGTGATAAATGCAGTGTTAATTGGTATTTTGATAGCAGCCTTTGAAATATTGATATCGCAAAGCAAATAAGCCCTCCAAAGGCCTATTCACATCAATCTTTACAGACAAAAAAAAACAAAAATCAAGTTTTGAAACACATATATTGTTGTGTATGCTTTTTCATCGGAGCCATCAGAGGCGGTGAAACACGGTACGCTGTTGTCTATTCTGTAGAGTGGGGTGAACCCAGTGCGTGCATCAATTAGTACTTGAAAGAAACACTTTAAATGAATCATTGCTGCTACTCAAGGAATATGTTTCTTTTTCCTCTTCCATCTTCATCACTTGTTTTCAGAGTGTGTAGACAAAAAAAAAAGCATCAAACCTGATATGAAGGTCTCACTATAGTAAAAATCACATTGTTTTTTTTTTTTCCATTAAAAAAATGCACTTATAGGCCTTAACCCTTGGGTTCCCAAACACGAGGTCCCACAAACTGAGTGTGAAGTTAAATAAAACATAAAAGTAAATCCTTAAGCTTTCAGTCCACTTTTAGTCAACATAATGTAAGAGTGCAGTGTTCCGTACAGTACTTCGGCAATTTTCGCGTTTCAGTAGTTATTGCATATAGTCATATAGGATGTAATCATTGGTTGGAGTCAAAATCTGACAAAATCTAGCAACCAAAATCTTGATTGGTCATATTTGGCCAAATACTTTTGAGAATTCCGTACACCAGCTTCCATAGAGGAAGCAGTTTTCCGTAAAGTGTTTTCCTGCATTTTATTGTATTATTTTATTTAGTTTAATGAATTCTAATTGCATAAAAATGGCCATTAACTGATTATACGTTTTAAAAAATGAATTTAGATAAACAATAGGTACAATGATTGAGGCTCCCATAGACAAAAGCCTAGTAAAGTGAGGCAGTGGTGTGAAGCCGCTAAGGTAACTAAACTGACTGTGTAAACTTAGATTAACAACTCGGTATTAAACACACTGTGTTTCATGGTGATAATCCATTGTTATATATTCGCTGGGGTGTTAAATATTTTGTTTAAACGTGCTAAAATGCATATTAACTGGCTGTGAAAGTTTCCCCACCCCATTCACATTCGCATCCCTGTGTTTCCCCACCCACCATTTTCTGGTCACGCTGGGGAACGGTCACTATTTACACAGATTTGATGTCCAAACTCAGCTTAGATGGTCTTACCAACCGTTTATTGGAAACAAGGATATATGACAATGTATTGTTGATAAATGACAAGAAAGTGGTTTTTATTACACAAATAGGAAAAGTTGCAAGTGTACGGAATACTGAAGTGTACGGAATACCGTGCACTTATGTTACTGTTTTTCCACTCAACAAATGCAAAAGCATACCGTGTTACAAAGAAAGGTGTATCGGCCTACACTTTTACATACTTATTGAGATTGTGGAATAGAAAGTAATCGGGACAAAACAATGATTCCGTTCAGCTCTCACCTGCAGTATGAACACATTAATACATTTCATTCACATTAATATGTTTTGCCGTCATTCAAGCAACACTTGACTGAAAATGCACTGACGGCTGTAGCTGTGTTGGCCACGAGCAACTGGTATAAAAGGCCACACTGATAATGCCAGAGTGCTTTGGAAGTGCCAGCAGTGCCAAGTGGTTACCGCTTATGATCTAAAAGGCGCTTCATTTAGCTCCGCTCTCACGGAAAAACAAACAAACCTGCACCGATGCTGCTTCTTCGTGACTCCCACACTGCAGCCCACCAGTGGATCGTGACCCACAGTTTGAGAACCACCGCTCTAATCGATCTCTAAATGTTTTTTTCTGTGCTGTGAGCATGGTGACATGATCCAACAAGCAGAATTCCTTTTGCTTGACTACAATGCAAGCTATGGATAGGAGAGAATCAATGTCACAATACAGTGGTTGAAAAGTTTCATTTTCTAAATGAAAATAAGCCAAAACATCCTCTACAGAGAACAAATGTAAATCTGACATTTTTCTGCATATAAACAGTAAATAATATATAAACAGTATAGCATGTAAAGTACAAGGTAAATAAACAGTACCTGTGCATTAAAAAGTGCAGAACAGTGTTCACTTATTTTTCACTTAAAAAATAAACAAAACAAGTCATTAGAACAGGGGCACCCAAACTTTTGCATAAGATTGTATGTAGCAAAATAAACACTAGGCCTGCAACTAACAGTTGGACCAAACAGGAAACAAGACTTATACCTAACAAAGAAAGCTTTTAATGATGTACTAAAGTCTCCAAACAGTTATTAGACTAAATATATAACAACTTCATATTATTTTATATTACACTTATCATTTAGTGGCTAATTTTTATTTGTCATATCTAACGCATCATCTTTCCTATTCTCTTGATTCTAGCTTTCTAATCATTAACCAATTTATCACTTTTGTCTCAGTTTATGTGATTCTCAGTGAGGCGTGTTTGCCTTGGAGACATCTGATACATCATTGGCTAAAGGTCTATCCATTAAACATTACTGTGTTTATTGCTAGCATTAATGACCGGCACACTGGTGATTTCATTGCTGTATATTTTACAGATTTCATTCTTTAACTGCTCCCTCAGTTTGGCATTAGTTTACTAGACTGTACTTAACATCACTGAAATGTTCCTCTCTTCCACTGGAAATTCCAATGTGCAGCATAACAATACCTTTAGTGGGCCATCTAGGCTGGTTTCGGCACATACATACATGCTGGGACTCAGGTAATTTAATTATATTTCGTTTTCTTTGTGCATTTCTCTCGAGCTGCTGTGCAACGCCATCTCCGCTTCTATATATTGTTATATGCCGTGACTTTTGGCGATCTTGCTTTCTTGAGTTTATTTCCTTTTGTGCCACCCTTCACTTAAAGATCTGACTGTGCAACGCAACGACAGAAGCCATATTACGCCTGATCATATATGCAGTGTCAGAATTAACACATTAGCACACTGAAGGAGAATTAAACTGTTAAAATGTTAAAAAAAGTGATTGAGTGGTTTGAAACCCACAACAGTCCACAGCGGTGGTGAATGGAACCAGGTGTCTGAAGAGATTAATGCCTCTAGAAGCTCCCTTATGCAACGTTATTACATGAAATGGTCATCAGCATGCTGCCTGATGTCTGAGATATTGTTTCACGATAGTTTTCGGAAGGCCTTGACACATATTTACTAAATCCATTCAAAGAGGATAGGTACATGCACAGTGTTGTAAGGCAAAGAAAGTTTTGGATTTTTTTTTTCAGGTTTGCTATTTTGCCATAAGCAACATGATTCATAAAGACTCAGAAGACATGTGTAGGTTCAATGGTGGTTTTGGATAATAAGTAAAATGGCCATATTTGTAGTGTAGACATTGCGACCCCTGGTTCCTATCACCACCACTATAATCTACAATGAACCATTTTGCATCAAACTACTCTGAATGACTTCGTTTACATCTCAGCCATTGAATTATGCAGAAAAATGACTGGACTTCCCCTAAACAAGCAAACAGCATGATGTCAACAAAAAAATTACATCCACAAATTTTTTATAATTGATGTAAATGACTTTGTCAACTAAACACTGCAGCCATAATAATGACAATTTGGAATTTCGTCCATGTTGTGCAGCTCTAGTTTGGACCTACATATTATTCTGTGGCTGTATGACTGTGAGATTTGGTTTTATGTACCTCTACATACCTTAAAGGAATGTGTATGTGTGCACGTGTGAGCGCGCTGCCTACCCCTCTGGAGAGAAGTCTTTTTCTTTACAGATCTCCATCAGTTTGGGTGTTAACCTGTATCCCTTGAGGGACAGGGAGCCTTGTGCCATCTTGATGGGATCTACAAAGAAGAGACATTACCAAGCAAAGCGCCGCGGTTATTGTCTCTACAATAGCCGGCCATTACATATCTCTCTCTTTAACTCTCACCCACGGCATTTGAGCTCCAGCGAATGCAGCAGAGAAGCCGTAGTAAATTGCTGTAAACAATGATGAGTCTGCCTGTAAGTCAGTGAAGTAAATCACCACACAACGACAAAGTGCTCTTTCACAACTAGCAGCGAAATGCTTTGAGGTAGTTACGCTAATACTTTCGGTGATCATTTTGTTCTGCTGTAAACAAGAATAAAAATGATTCGCAAATAGCAAAGGAACCAGGAGAAGTGACACACTAAAAGGCTGCATGGCTTTGTTCAGTGGTTTCCGTCACTAAGCATTAGAATAATATGATATACTAATGTTATGGTGGACAGTTTGAAATACTGTCAAAGGAGGTGCACTCGTGTCATATTTTTATTTCTCATATCTAACGTAGCATCTTGACTCTAGCTTGTTTAATCTTTCTCCAATTTACCATTTTATTTCACCAGTTCTGTGATTTTCCACGAGGTGTGTTTGCCTTTATGACATCTGATACACCAACAGCTAAACGTTTCTTCATTAAACATTACTGTGTTTATTGCTAGCATTAATGACTGGCACATTGGTGATTTTATCGCTGTATATTTTATAGATTTCATTCTTTAACTGCTCCCTCAATTTGGCATTAGTTTACTATACTGTACTTAACATCACTGAAATGTTCCTCTCTTCCATTGGAAATTCCAATGTGCAGCATAACGATACCTTTAGTGGGCCATTTAGACTAGTTTTGGCACAAACCTACTACCAGCGAGAGCAGAACATGCGTTTTTAATTATATTTTGTTTGTACATTGCTCTTGGGTTGAAACGCCATCTCCGCTTCTATTTATTGTAACACACTGTGACTTTTGTCGATCTTGCTTTCTTGTGTTTATTTCCATTTGATGAGTCTGCCTTTAAGTCTATGAAGTAAATCACCACACAATGACAGAAATGCTTTGAGGCAGTTACACTAATACTTACGGTGATCATTTTGTTCTGCTGTAAACAAGAATAAAAATGGCCCGCAAATAGCAAAGGAACCAGGAGCACAGCTAAGTGGAGGGTTCAGTTTCATCTTCACCAGCATCACAGGAGTCATCATGAAGCTTCATTAACTGACAGCTGGGCTCATCAGCAAGAATGTGTCTGGGCTCGCTGTAAAAAGAGTATGGTCACTTTTCTTGGTTCATGTGCTCTGATTCTTCAAGCTTTCAGACTTTTCTTTGAGGCTGCAGCCTCGCTCTTCTACGGCCACATTCGGCCTTTTCTTTTGAAATCCTTTTGAACACGGAGCAGTTTGGATAAGTCTCTTCTAACTTTTTCTACAGAAACATCAACCCAAATGATTATGAGGTCTCAGCAGCGCGAAATTATGACAACTGTTGAGTTGGATGGCAGTAAAAGGCTTTGCTCACACAGCAGGTAAAAGTGGCCCAAATCCGTGAACAACAAAACGCACTGAATCTGACATTTTCAATTCTGATTTGAGACACTTTCAAAACATGTGATACTAAAATCTGATCCATATTCAATATGCGGCAATGCGACTCAGTCTGAACAGCCAGATTGGAATTCACGCGACTTACGTCAATCCAACTCTACATTCTTCAAAATTCCGCGCTGCTAAGACTAATAAACATCTGGGGTGACGTTTCTGTACCAAAAAATTAGAACAGACTTATCCAAACCACTTCTTGTTCGAAGGGATTTAGAACGAAATGGCTGTGAAGTGGCTGTGGCTGAATAACAGGCACTTTTTAAGGTGAGCTCAAACACATTTTGGGTGATGAGCCCAGCTGTCAGTCAGGGAAGCTTTGTGATCGCTCCCGTGATGCTGGTGAAGATGAAACTGAAAGCTCTGGGAGCAGCATGATTATTTACCTCCGGATGAGCAACGTAAAGGACGTGAAGCATTGTTTTTTTGCGCATGTGGGTCAGTTTAGGAGCTGATCTGTTCAGACTGATGTCACACACAGGTCACATTTAAAAGATAATGTGAACAGCCAAACAAAAAAATCGGATTTGCTGAGGAAATCAAATTTGGGCCACTTTTACCTGCTGTTTGAACATAGCCAAAGTCACACGAATTCAGATTTGGCTGAGTCGCATTGCTGTGTATCGGATACGTATCAGATTTCAGTACCACATATGAAAACATCTCAAATCTGAATTAAAAATGTCAGATACAATGTGTTTTTGCTGTTCACACTGCCACACAGATGATACATCTGTGTCACATCTGAAGAAAAAGATTGGATTTGGGCCACTTTTACCTGCTGTGTAACCATAGCTTTAAGTCTCTTGATGTGGAAACACTCGAGACTTAAAGTGGAAGAAACATATAGAGGGGTCCAGCTGCAGACGGGACTCTCTACACTCGCCTACTTGTCATGTGAATGGACGGGTTTCCTGGCGAAGGCCTGTCAGAGCTGCCATGTATATCTGATATACAGCACCGTCGTCAAATGTCTGTTACTCAGCTTATGCTTGGCTTATTTCATTTCAGAAGACAAGTGAAGTATGAGGCTTCAAGTTTGCCTCCATAAGCTAGAAACAAGCAAAGCATCAACAGCATCAATAAGACCTTGTTCAGTCTTACTGGAGAAAACTACCAGGTGAACCATTTTCCTCAAAATTAAAAAGAAACAGAGTCTCTCTATTTGAACTGTTTAGCAGCTTCTGCAGTTATAATAACATTCACCACAAAGCTAAAGTTGAATTTTTATTTATAGCTTTAGTACCATTCTGGTGCCTAACTGTGTCAATAGATTTGGGAGGAACACAAAATTTGAAGAAGAGGGACAGCTTCAGCACTGCATATTCATCATGATTTTGCTGTATTTTCTGTAAAATTTGTGATTTCTGTTATTTGCTATCTAAAAACAATTCAAACTAGCACTTGCTTTTAATTTGCTCAGCTAGTTTTAGTGCTAGTTTTAGTGCTAGTTTACTTGAAGGGCATCTACATAACACATTCATAACATCTTACATAAATACTTCATAACATGTTAATGAATATTTAAATCAACATTCATAAAGCATGCATGGTTTTCATGATATTAATATGGATTACTATGTTATTATGCTGAGACATATTTCAAAGTAAAAGTCCACATTTTTTATTTTGAAAAAATCTATTATTTTCTTTTTAAATGTTTGTAATTGTTTTATCTCAGGCACTTGTTGCTTTGCATGTCACATTACTACATGTAAATTACTCATTTATATGCTAAGGAACAATCATTTGACTAAATTTTAGTATGATGATGTGCCTAAGTGTCAAAGCACTTAATGACCAAAGGGGTAAGCAAGGTCATTTTTATTTTGGCTGTCCAGAAATGAGGTATTTCATTCAATGGATTATTATTAAAGTAAATTATGTTCAACTTTGCGTTTTATCGTTAAGTTCAATACTTTGAAAATTATTTTAAGGCATAGTTGCACTTCTTTTTTGTGTATACCATTATGTTTATCCTGGTTAACGGTGTACTATAGATTTCTCAATTATCTGGAAGGGTTAAGAAAAACTTCATATACAACCATACACTATTCATTAAAATGCTGCAGTACCTTCACCATAATTTTTGTTGAAATGGCATTCAATTTGCTGACGAATGCATACCACACTGTTTAGAACTCGGGCCTTGACTTGAGACTTGCCTGTACTGACTTGGAATTTGAATCGAGACTTGACTGTCTTGACCTAGGACTTGACTCCAGACTTGACTGTCAAGATCTGAGCCATGCATGTTACTTGAAACTTTGTTCACACTGCAGTGCAAGTCAGATGTGTTTCTTATATCCAACTGTTTAGACCGACTGTTCAGATTTAAGTTACAAATGACCAAATCTGATTTGTAGGGTCAGTCACATTTGCTCACATATCGAATGCGTCATATTAATGATGTACACATGCAAATGCTGACTAGGTAGGGGCAAAACTTAGCAAACCTAACAATAATAACAAGCTTATAGAATTATAACAGCATTTCACTTTCATTAACTGTAAGATGAACGGAACGTGACATTAGTGTAGGTTAACCTGGTCAGCAGACTGCTAACAAGCTACAAGCTGTAGCAGTGATATTCAAAGACAAGCTTCAAGTTTAGATTACTGATGAAGCAATCACTGTAACCTACAGCATAGAAAGTACAAAGTGTTTGTTGTAATATGTGAATGTGCACCACTAACTTTTTTGTCGTACATTCTGTTGTTTTCCGCCAAACTCTGAATGACTGAAAACGCACATGAAATCTGACCTGATCAGTCAAACTGAATCAAGGATCCAGAAATCTGATTTGAAACCACCTACACAGAAGGCTTGAATCTGACAGAAAGTAGTCAGATTTAATGTGGCTTTTGCCATTTAAGGCAAAGAAAACCTGTCCTGCTTAAATCAAATATTGTCTGAACAAAGCCTTAGTGACTTGTTCCCACCTCTGACCATCACTACAATTTTGTCAAACAGGTTGTGGTTCTATGTGATACAGAATCTCCTCTGAGGGTGCATACAATTACAATGTAGCCGCAGCACAGCAGAAGGAGGAGCAGACTGAGGACTTTTCCTCCTTTAAAAAGGTGAAAACTCAACATCAAAGTCTCAGAACTGAATATCTCTAATGGCAATAAATATTCCAAATTTCAGAGATTTTATGACCACAATATTTTCAAATCCATTTTAAGACTTTAAGGAATTAAGGATACACAGGAACCCAGTTTTAAGTGGCAAAATGATCAATATAAGAGCATTTTTTGCCCTTTGCACCTAATGCTTCCTGACACTGACTGTCAGGTATCGTGAAAATACTGATTTATAAGCATTGTGATATAACATTTTGGCCATATTACCCACCCCGACCTGAATAGTTAACTGCTTATTATGAAAAGGTATCATATGTGACTTTTCTTGTTTAAGAAACACGCCTGCGTCACAAG